AGGAGGAGGAGGAGGAGGGGTTGCCGGGGCCATGGGGGTGCCCAGAGGGGCCCGAGGAGAGCCGGGGGAATCCCGGAGCCCCCAGTCCCAGCCCAGGCTGGGGGGCAGCGCCAGGAGCCCGGCAGGGCCCGAATGGCTCCTCCGGGAGCGCCGGAGCTCCATCCCCATCGTTCCCTCGCACTCAGCCCAGCCCAAATCCAGTCCCAGCGGCTCTGGCAGCGCTGTCCCGCGGCTCCGTGGGACATTCCCGGGGGGAACGGGACCGGCTCCATCCCCGGGCGGGTCCCCGCGGGCCAGGAGCGCCTGGGGGGCGGCGCTGCCCTTGCCCATCCCCGCGGCTCCGGGAGATGCTCCGAAGGGACAGGGGCACTTGGGAGGGGCCAGAAGCCCTAAATGCGCCCTGGGTGTTGGGGTGCAGAGCAGAGACCCCCGGTAATGCGGGCAAGAAGGAGGAGGTGTTGCTGCCGGCTGGCTCCGCACCCATCGCTGCCTCACCCGCGGGCTCTGCCGCTCCCAGCGCCTGCCCCTGTCACCGGGGGAAGCTGCTTTTTGATAAAACAAATAAATCTTCCCCTTGCTTTCCTAAAAATAGCCATTGCCCTTTTTTCCCTGCCTGCCTCCCCCCAGCTCAGGCTGCCTTAGAGACAGAAACCCGCCTGGAGCCCGGCAGTCACTGATGCGGAGCACCCGCCGTGCGCGGCGCTCGTTCTAGCGGGAACATGTGGGGGCAGAAGGCGCCTGGCTGCCAGGAACCCACGTCCCCGCGTCCCTGCTGCTGCTCGGGGCTCCTCCTGCCTGCCTCCGGCCGGGGGGGATGGTTTGGGATTAAACTGGGAATATTCCTTGTGCGGCTGCCACCACCTTCCCTGCAGGACGCAGAGTGGGACGCGGAGCCCCTGCAGGTGCCGAGGGTGCTGCCTTCAGCTCGGCATCCCCATCCCCGCCCCTCCCCACGGCCCGGGATCAGCCCAAGCTGGCCAGCTCCTTCCCCACAGAGGCTAAACATCCAGATTGATGGGGCAGCCGGGATTTGTGCAGGGATTCGGCTCAGGGGAACACTCCACCACGGAGTGACGGATGGACGGAGCGTTTCTCAGCCAGGACTAAAAAGAGAAATATCTTTTTATTACAGATAAAAGCCTCTGATGTTTCTAGAGGGCAGTCCCAGCGTGGAACAGGCACACGAACCGTGGAGCTGGGTCACAGGACATGGAGCTGGGTCAGCGGTCATGGAGCTGCTGCTGGGTCATCTTCCTCCTCCTCCTCCTCCTCCTCTCCTCCTCCTCCTCCTCCTGCTGCCGCCCCTCCTCAGTAGCAGTGGGCGATGGTGTCCACGTTGAGGAAGCGGACGTGCATCTTGGTCTCGATGTCGATGCCCTGCCACATCTGCCAGGGGCCGGGGCTGAGCGGGGCCGGGGCCACCCCCGGGCCCCGCCGAGCCCGCCGCGGCCACCGCGGAGCTGGCACCGACCTTAAGGAAATCCTCGAAGGTGATGCCCTCGTACACCTGGTCCGGGCCCTGCCGCGGGGAGAGGAAACATCGCGGCTGCCCCAGGGTGATGGCGAGGGGCGGCCAGGGCTGTCCCCCGCGGCTGAGGGACACATCTCCCACGGGTTCCTGCCCTGAGCCCCATGGCCAGCCCCAGATTGGTTCCCAAACCCCCGCGGCTGAGAGGAGCAGCCCTTTCCATGAGCAGGAAGGATGGGGATTTAGGGGATGCTGTTTGTGATGCCCTGCTCATGAGAAAACATCACCCTGGAAGCTGCTGCCTGCACAAACCCCTCCAGCCAAAGCAGCTGTGGCACAGGGAGACGCCCTGGGAAGCAGAGACACCTCCCAGCCCCGTTTTTGGTGGCACCACAGCCCTGCAGAGCAGGGCAGCGCTCCCAGCTGGGCTCCCACCATTTGTCCCACACAGATGCTGGCTGCCTCCATCATGGCCCCGTCGGCGATGGATCGAGCTGACTCCTTCTCCAGGTGGGGGTTCCCTGAGAGCAGCTCCTCCACCACCTGCAAGGCACAGGGTCAGGCCAGGCCTGGGCGCGGCGTGGGGCAGGAGGGAGCCCACCTCACATTTCTGTACTCCTGCAGCGTGATCTTCCCATCATGGTCCGAGTCGTACATGTGGAACAGGACTGCGAGGGACGGGGGGACAGGGTCAGGGCAGCCCCTTCCCACCAGCCCCAAAGGCCGGGGAGAGCCTCACATTTCAGCTTCTCCTTGCGGAAGCGCTCGAGCTGCTCCTCGTCCATGTTCATCTCGATGGGTCTGAAGTAGGACATGATGGTCAGGAAATCCTCGAAGTTGATCTCGTCCGCCAGCCCGTCCGACTCCTGCCGCAGGTTCCTGGGGGTGCCGGAGCCCTCGGTGATGGGGAGCCCCCACGGCATCACTACACCCCAGCAAAGCTCTGCTTTGTCCCCAAAATTCCGCTTAAATGTCTCATTTTCCACCCCGGCCCTTAGGGGGAAGGTCCCTGCCCAGCCCCATCCCATTTCCGGAGGATAAATCCTCCCTCCCGGGCTGCTGGGGGGTTCTCACCGCTTGTCAAAAAAGGCGTGGACGATTTTCCCCCTGATGGGGTTGAACTCCAGGTCGGGAATGCTGTCAAAGTTCTCCTTGCTGCAAAGGGGACACAGAGAGCCCGGAGCGGGAGGGGGTGGGAGGAGGGAGAAGCTCTGACAGCCCCCGAGAGACCCAACCCTTCCTTCCAAAGAAATCACAGAAAAATAAAGGAGTTTTGGATAAAAACCCTTTTATCTTCTGTTCAGACTGAGAGCAAGTCTGTGCTCAGGGATTTTATCCCACTAGAATGGGTCTTGGGGAAGCTCTTGGGATGACCCCAGGGCCCTTTGCATGGCTCCAGATTTTGGAGTTTTCCCAGGAAAAAGGCCTCAAGCAGGGCTCACTAAGGCACAGCAAGGAGATCCTGCTGTCCACCCTCCCCTCAGCTCTGTGCTGAGCCCCTGCTGGGCATTTGCTCTCTGGGATTTATGAAGCAAATGAGGCAAGAAATAACCCCGGGGAGCAGAGAGCAGCGGGAGCTCGGAGCTCTCCCAGTTCCCTGGGCAGCCACCGAGGAGAGGGACAGGAGCAACTGCAACCCCCCTTCCCTCCCCAAAACTGATTTTAAAGCTGGGGAGTGATGAGATGTTTGTCAGGAGTGCCCCTGCTCCCAGGCCACTGTGTCACTGTGTGTTTTTCCTGGGAATATTTGCAAGGCCACGCTGCAGGAGCTGGCTCAGGGGTGGCTCAGGGGTGGCTGGAAGGACACTCAGAATCCCAGCCTGGACTGGCAGCCCGGGGAAGGGGACACGTGGGGGTGGCCCTGGCAGTGGGGCTGGGATTGCCATGGGGCTGGGATTGATGTGGGGCTGGGATTGATGTGGGGCTGGGATTGATGTGGGGCTGGGATTGATTTGGGGCTGGGATTGATTTGGGGCTGGGATTAATGTGGGGCTGGGATTGATGTGGGGCTGTTTTTTTCCCGGGCTGGGATTGATTTGGGGCTGTTTTTTTCCCGGGGCTGGGATTGATTTGGGGCTGTTTTTTTCCCGGGGCTGGGATTGATTTGGGGCTGGTTTTTTCCCAGGGCTGGGATTGAAGTGGGGCTGGATTTTGCCCGGGGCTGGGATTGAAGTGGGGCTGGATTTTGCCCGGGGCTGGGATTGATGTGGGGCTGGATTTTGCCCGGGGCTGGGATTGATTTGGGGCTGGTTTTTTCCCGGGGCTGGGATTGATTTGGGGCTGGATTTTGCCCGGGGCTGGGATTCCCGTACCGGATCGTCAGCTGGTCCTGGCTCAGCTGCTTGAAGCGCCGGTGCAGGTGCTCGATCTGCTCAGAGGTGACTGCCAGGGAGAGGACAGAGGTGACAGGGGCTGAGCCCCAGGGACCCTTGGGACACCCCTCTGTGCCTGTCCCCACACCCCGAGCCCTGGGGCAGGGTCCTGGGCACTCCTGTGCCACCCCCACTCCCTGTGCCCTGTGCTGGCTGCAGGGACGTGCCAAGGGCTGGTTTACTCCCTGTCCCGCTCTGCCTGGCACAGAATGGCACAGTGGGATCCCACCCCCAGCTCAGGATCCCTGCTGCCAGCCCACTGGAACAGGCTTGGCATTTTTGGGGTGGTTGGCACCGTGGGCAGAGCTGTGCCCAGGCAGCTCCTCTCGCCCTGCCCCGGCTCTGCCTGGAGCCAGGAGGTTCCTCCACATCCACAGCCATGGCAGCTGCAGGAAATAACTCTGGGATCAGAAATCCTGCCAGCAGCCACCTTCCCCTTGCCAGGGAGGAGGAAAGGACACCGAGGGGGCACAGCAGCCCCCCGAAACCAACGCCTGGCTTTGAAATTGCTGCCACTGCTCAGGGTGAGCCACGAACCATCGGGGTGGGCACTGCCCCAGGGATGCACCAACCCCATCCCAGGGCACGGGGCTGCCAGGGGGCACCAGCAGCTCCCTCTGAGCCCCACGGGTGCTGGGCTCCAGCCTGAGCTCCCCAGCACCTCCCCAGTGCCCTGAGCTCCAGCACAGGAGTTTATCTTCCCCTGCTGCTGTGCAGGGGCTGTAACCCAGCTCTAACCCCCCGAGCAAATATTGACAGGGGCCATTGCCAGGAGGCAGGGAAGGGCTTTGGAGCTGTGTCTGTGAGCTGGGGGCTCTGGCTGGGCCCACAGGCTCCTGCAGCCCCGGCTGGGGCTGGGCACGGGGCAGGGCTGCCCCAGCAGCTGGAAATCAGCCACCCCTGGCACCATAGAGAGACCTAAAACCACGTTAAAGCACGGCTGAGGGGTTGCAAAGGGTTAATTACAGCAAGACAGCAGGGTCAGGGCTGGGCTGAGCTGCCTCCCTCTCTCCTTTTTATGATGGTAAAATAACGTCCTTTGCTTTCCCACTGCTTCACAGCCTGGAAATAGCAGCTCTATTGATCAGCGGGGCTGGGCCTGCTCAGCTCTCTGTTACCAGCCTGGAAAACCCAGCTGGGCAGGGTGGATCAGCCCCCCGAGGATGGGTGTCCCCAGCCCCCCGAGGATGGGTGTCCCCAGCCCCCCGAGGATGGGTGTCCCCAGCCCCTCTGAGGATCCCCTCAAACCCCCTTTACCTCCCCCCCCGGCCCCGCTGGCTCCCAGGTGAGGATGCCCAGACCCCCTGATCCATCCCCTGGATGCTCTCTCCCCCCATCCCTCCTGGCTGCTGCTCTGCTGCTGCCCCATGGCAACTTTCCCTGGGCTTTGCTTTCCAATTTTGGCCATGCAGGAGTGACCTTTTGCTCTCTGCCCTGACGACATCTCTGTCACCATGGGAGCAGCTGGGCCACCAAGCCCAAGCAGCTGGGGCCTGGGTGCACACCAAAAAGCTTTGATCTCTCAGAAAAATGTCCCAGGCACCAAGGGGACAAAGAGCTGGGTCAGATGCTCGCGGTTGGGCCGCCCTGAAAGGCTGGAGGAGGCTTTTCCTCCCTCTTTCCCCATCCTGGGGGTTGCAGCTCTCCCAGCATTGCTCTGTCCTGTAAAGGTGGCAGTGCTTGGCTGCTTTCTGGGGAAAAAAAAGGGGAAAATCTGCAGAAAAGGCAAAAGCTTTGCTGGAAGAAGGGCTGGCTCAAGGGCAGCAGAGTCTGCTCGTGTCCCTGAGAAGCATCTTGATGCTGCAGGCCCGTGTCCAAGCACAGCAGCCTCCTCTAACGGGGGAAAAATGGGATTTAAACCAAAGGCAGCTGCTTGCTGTTCCCAGCCTTGTGTGGTTTGTGCTGCTTGAGCAAAGGGAAAGGGGCACTGGGGGGGCTCAGCCCCCGCTGCGGGACCGGCCTGGCTGCGGGGAATGGTCACAGCAGCCCCGACAGACGCTGCTGCAGCTCCGGAGAGGAGAGGGAGGGGAAGCGGCCCGAGCAGCCCCTCGGGTCCCTCCATGGGGCAGAAGGCAAAGGAAGGAGCCACGGGCACCTGCAGGCGGCTCTGCCCTGTCCCGGCTCCTCCCAGGGTGCTGCAGCAAGGCTGCACATCCCCGAATTCCCCGGGACCCCGGCAGCAGCCACAGCACGGGGGGAGCACCCCGGCCGCGGCTCCCCCTGCCCTCCCTGCTCTGGCTCCGGGGAGATTTTTGGGTGCTGCCCTCGCGAGCCCTGCCCTGGGGCTGATCCGCGGGGCACCGGGGAGGAACCTCCCACGGGCAGGTGTCCCCGTGCCGGAGGTGCCGCTGCAGGGTCCCCGGGCCAGGGGGTTCCCCAAAATCCTCCTCCCACCCTGGGCTGCCAGGCTGGCACCCCGCGGGCTCCCCAAGAGCCTGAGGGGAGGGGAGGAGAGGAGAGGAGAGGAGAGGAGAGGAGAGGAGAGGAGAGGAGAGGAGAGGAGAGGAGAGGAGAGATGAAGTGAGATGTGACCCCAGGAGCAGCAGCAGCACTGAGGACAGTCACCAGACCCTGTGGCCGTGGGCAGAGCCGCCCCTCTGCCCTCCCTCCAGGGCAGCGGCTCAGCGCGGCCGCAGCGGGAGGATTCCGGCTCCAGGGAGCTCCCCGATCCCGTGCCCGCAGCTGCCGCGTCCTGGAGCGGTGACACTTGCCAGGACGGCCACGGCCACCCCGTCCCACGGCGCGGGCCCTGCGGGGAGCCCCGGGTCCCTGTCCCTGCCCCTTCCCCTGCCGGTGGCTCCATCCCAGCCCGCGGCCCGGCGCTGTCACGGCGCGGTGGCTCCGGGGCAGAGCGGCCGTGCGGGGACAATGCCCTCCGTGCGCGGTGGCGCGGGTGGCAGAGCCGGGCTGGGGCTCGCACGTGTGGCCGCTCGACGCCCGGGCTGGTGGCACGGTGGCAGCGGGGACACGGCTGCACGCCCAGGGTGACATGGTGGCACCCTCTGGTGACAGTCCTGCACCCTCCTCCCGCTGCATCCCCCAGGTGTCACATCCCGCTCTCCGCGCCCAGGCGACACCTCCGCACCCTCCCGAGGGACATTCCCCGCAGCCTCCCCGCGGCTCTCACGGCACGTCCCGCATCCCCTGCACCTCCTGCAGCCCCCGGCCACCCCGGTGACATCTCCTGTCCGCCCCCTCCCTCCCCGGGCGGCACCTCCTGCGCCGCTCCCCGGGTGACACGTCCCGCACCCCCGGGCGATGCGTCCGCTGCGGGTCCCGCCGTCCGTCCGGCGGGGCCGGGGGCTCCGGGCGCGGGGGGGATGAGCTGGGGCGGGTCCCCGGTACTCACAGCCCGTCCTGTCCGCCAGCTCCCGCATCTCGGCGGGCACGGAGTGCGCGGAGCCCATCCCGGGCCGTGCCGGGAGCGCCGCCGCGGGCGCTGCGCCGGAGCCGCCGCCGCTTTTAAGGGCGGGCGCGGCGGGGAGGCGGCGGCGGCGCGGCGGCCCCGGGGCCCTGCGCGCCCCCGCCCCGAGGCAGCGCGGGGCCCGCGGGGCTGGCACCCCCGGGGAGCGGGGCGGCCCCGGCAGCGCTGCGGGCACCGGGAGCCCCCGGGAGGGAACAGCCCCGGCAGCGCTGCGGGCACCGGGAGCCCCCGGGAGGGAACAGCCCCGGCAGCGCTGCGGGCACCGGGAGCCCCCGGGAGGGAACAGCCCCGGCAGCGCTGCGGGCACCGGGAGCCCCCGGGAGGGAACAGCCTCCCGGCTCCGGCGCTGCCCCCGGTTCCCGGCGCGGGGATGGGGCCCGGCTCTCCCCATGGATACCCGCCCGCACCCCCCGGCTGCCCCGGCCTTGGCACTGCCCGGGCTGTGCCCCTGGGTGGGCAGGGACAAAGCCCAGAGGGACCCCATGAGGGGGGATTCCCCAGGAGGCAGCTTTGGCAGGCGGGGGGCTCTGTCAGCGTCGCCCCTGTGCCACAGTGGCACTGGCAGGGACAGGTCAGCCACGTCCCAGGGGCACGGGGAAGAGCAGAGCCCTTCCAGGAGTGCAGGCAGAGGTCTGGGAGCAGCTCAAGCAGCACAGCACACCGCGGCGGTAGGTAGCACGTCAGTGTTGTTTATTTGTTTAAAGCCAAATATAAACAGGAAAGGAATGAAATCATTCCCAGCCTCCAGCTGTCCAGGAAAATACCTGTTTGTAAATAAAATGGGAGAAAGGAGAGATGTCCCCATCTTGCAACCTCAGCTGTCAGTGTCAGGGGCCCTGGGGCTCAGGGCTCCTCACCCTCCATTCCTGGGCCAGCAGTTTTCCATCCAGTGTGGAATTTTGCCCAGCCCAGGCACTTCCAGAGAGGAGGAGGGAAGGAGGTGGGACATAAATGCAGCACTGTGTCCCTGCTGCCAGTCCCCGTGTCCCCCATGGGGAAGAGGCAGCAGGGACAGGCAGGGCCCTCAGAGCTGGGATACCCCAGGAGATGCCCACGAGGGTCAGGACAGCACCTGGAGCCAGCTCGTGTGCAGGTGGAGGTGGCCTGGAAAGGACCAGAGATCCCAGGGATCCTTCTCCAGGCCAGAGCAGCCCTTTCCTCCTCATCCCCCTGCTCCCACAGCTCTGCCCGGCCGGTCTGGATGCTCCCGGGGTTTGGTTTTCCTGCAAAGATTGGAGACAAACTCCCACGGCTTGTCAGAGCCTCCCTGCCTGCCCTCGGCTGTGTCAGGAGGGATCCACAGGCCTTGGAAGCGCTTCCCAAGAGGAGCCAGGAGGGCACCAGCAGCTCCTCAGCCTGGCCTGGAGCAGCAGCACACCCAGACCTCGGCCTCCAAGGCTGGAGAGACCTCCCAGGGATGCTGCTGGCACAGCACTGCTGCC